GGGCGGGGGGGTGCAGTAAGAGTAGGAGCTACTGCAGTGTATGTATTTATGTGAATATAGTGTGTATGTATTTATGTAAATATGAAGTGTATGCATTTATGTAAATATAGTGTGTAAGCCCATGTATCTATGTAAATATGAAATGTATGTACATGTATTTATGTAAATGTGAAGTGTTTGTATATTATATAAATTGTGATCAACCTTCTTGCTCTTGGAATCCAAACATACAGCGAAACTCAATTCATTAACTTTTTAAAATCTTTTATTTTCTTTAATTGCGTAATTGACCACGAGGCCCCTTATATGTCCAAGCAAAAGTAACATGGCTATACAATGAACAGACACGATGGTTAATGTTTTGCAGAGTTTCTGTTTGTCTAACGCAGAAGACTTAGAGTGCACGAGGATGTAAATTGTTGGTATGTTTACAATTACAAGTTCAACAGTGAATGTCATTACGATTTCCATCAAACAGCATTGCATGAGCACACTAAAATAATGGTTATACTTTCATACGCCAAAGAGCACACTTTTTACACATGTCTTTTTCATCAGACTGTACATAAAGATAAATACACGCCATAGACATTCGGGTTATAAAATCCTAGATTAGACACTGTCATGGCGGCTGGTCTTTGCTCTCTGTATAAAACGTGGCTGCACTGGTGCGCACTAAGGGCGAACAGATGAAGGGCAAAAGGTCAAAACATAATGTTTATAGTGTGGTCAAAAATGCATTGCGCAACTTAATGCCAAATATCTCTTTAACTTTCGAACATAGGTTCTCTAAATTTTATACAATGACTTGCATCAATTGTCTAAGCTGACCAACATTTTTGTAAACACCTGCTAGTTGTATTCTAGAAAATTCATTAATAAATACTTCTTTTTTTTTTAAGTGGGTGATTTCTTCAGATTTTTAAGTGCTTACAACTCGGGCAAAATCGCTTTTAAGAGCAAGTTTGTCATTTTTTTCTAATAGCAATATTAGGCATACTGCTCGTATGCTTTGAATCTTTAGTGCTAAAAATATGTTCACTGTAAAATCAATTTCTTGTAACAGGTTTTTCCACTAAAGTGTTATTAGTGAATTATTACGTAACTCATATGCGTATACAAAATGTGAGCCAGAAGTGGAAAATGCTGAGAACAATCATATTGTCCGCATGATGCAGATTTATAGTATGGTATATACATTTAAGAAGAAC